AGCCACAAGCCATCTATCACAGCCCCCCAAGGTCCCCTCTGGGGACATCCCTCCACCTGGCCCTGCTGTCCCCAGGCCTGTTATCTCCGCTCTGCAGCTGGGATAACCCAAGCATGGAAAAGCCTGTCTCTGGCACACACAGAGGGGTTGGAGAGGGGGGATAATCCCCCCCTGCACCCTCCAGCTTCGCCCTCCTGCTCTGCAGGTGAGGCTGATTTTCACCCTGACCCCCCCCTCCTCCCCCAGTCCCAGGGGTGCCCAACCCACCCCCCGTGTCCTGAGGAGATCCAGAGAAAACAATTCCCAGAGGAAGAGGTGAAGTGTAACGCCCTGAACAAACCCAAGGTCGTATTTTGACTCTTGGAGCTGTTTTCTTTCCTCCAAGCCAAACCAGCCCGGAGCCTCTTTGCACCACACAGATCTAAACAGCGTTGAGGGGGGTAAAGGGAGAGCTTGAGGAGCAAAAACCAGGGAAAACACTAAAATTGAGCCCCCCACAAGCTGCTCTGCGCCCCCCAAAAGGGCACCTGGCACCCACTGAGCTTTCCAGGGAAACCTTGGCTGTGCTCACACCGCCCCGGGCAGGAGGGAAGTTTATTTTTAGAGCCTCTGAAAAGCTACTGAGGAGGAAGGAGACGGAAAACCACGTGGAAAGGCTCTGCCTCCTGAGAGGCACCTTGTGTTGAAGACCCTGCCCTGGCTGGGGGTGCTCCCGGCTCAGCTGAGCCCTTCCAGGGCTGGTCCATATAACCCAGGTCAAGGCAGCAGCGAGGAGGAGACCCCTGAGCTGCCAGTTATCCCTGGAATAACTCCCAGGAGACATCCCTGCCCCGCAGAGCTCACAAGCTGCAGGTGCTGCAGCGCAGCAGAGCTGAGCAGCGTCAGAGGGAGCAAGGGCAGCTCCAGGAGCAAGGGCAGCGTCCCTGAGGGCACATACACCCCCAGGAATTCTTAGGAATGCCCAGGGAAGCCAGCCTGGGAACCCTGGGCCACTTCTCCCCTTTTCCACCAACCCCTGGACGAGGTGGGGCTCGGAGCATCCTCTGCCCCAGGCACAGTGGGCACCAGCGGGTCCTTCAGGGCTGGTGGTCCGTGTCAGGATGCTGGGAGAGCACAAGGAAGGCTGGGAATTGGAGCACAGACGTGGCCAGGGCAGGCTGGTCCTTGGCTGGCGGCCAAGGAAGGAGCAGCAAGCTCCGGGAATCCCGGGGTAAGGTAATCCCGGGGTAAAGCCCTGCCCTCGGGACACCCGGCTGGGTGGCATCGGACCGTGCTGAGGAAGCACCTGAGGGGCACGGTTGGCTCCAGTGCTGGGGGCAAACAGAACCAGCCCAGCTCGGGCATCTCCCCCCGTCTCCGGGGTCCCCCCGCTCGGGGTGAGCTCAGCTCCAGCTGCCCGAGCCCAACCGCCCTCGCACAGAAGGAGTGTGAATTGTTGGACTAATCAGCGGATGCAAATCAGCCTCAAGACGGAGAAAAGCTGATTTGCATCTTCTTTAAACGCCCCGGTGCCACCGCACCAGTGTCTGGCTTTGCGGGGGGGGGCAGAGTCAGACCTAAAATCTCCGCAGCGCCAAGCCCGGGGTTGGCTTTGAAAGAGCAATTAAACCCCGGCACCTCGTGCTCGGAGGCGAAGCTGCTTTTGATGTGCAAATAACCCGCGGGCAGCTCTGCCCACCAGCCTGTTCCCCGGCCCTGCATCTGCCACCCCGGCCGACCCCCGGGGGCAGGGGGGGGCCCTGCCCGGGGTTCGCCCCCTCCCTCCGCTCCTCCACGGGCTGACAGCTGGCGTGTGCTCCTGCGGGGACCGCCTGACACCCGCTGGAGAGGGGGGGATAAGCCCCCCGGGCAGCCCCTCGTTAGTCATTATGGAATAAATATAAAAAAAAAAAAAAAGGAGGGAATAAAAATAGCAAACAGCGCGTAAATGCAGCGAGGCAGCAGCTGGGAGAGCAGCACGACCGTCCCCCCCCCTCGCCCCGAGCCTGGTACCTGCTGGTTCCTGCCGGGAAGAGTCGGGCTGTTCCTTTGGCACCCGGTTCAGAGCCGTGCCTGGAGCTCTCAGGGCGCTGCCAGGGCTGGTGCCACGCAGAGGGGGCACCCCTTGACCTGCCCCCAGAGCCCTGTGCTCCCCCCGAGGGGCCCTGCTCCCACCTCGGGCCCCCAGACCTGCTGGGGGACCTCTGGCTGGGGGGAGACAAAGGTGCTTTTGTCATTCCCGTTTTGTCATTCTCGGGCTGTTCCCTGCCTGGGAC